GTGGTGTGGTGGTGGTGGTGTGGTGGTGGTGGTGTGGTGGTGGTGTGGTGGTGGTGGTGTGGTGGTGTGGTGGTGGTGGTGTGGTGGTGTGGTGGTGGTGTGGTGGTGTGGTAGTGTAGTGGTGAACTTACCTACCAGTAACCTACGGGATACTGAGATCTAGCTCTGCATCCCCCAACCTACAAGCCTTGTTCTACCCCTTTATGTTAATATTTAACAATTCTAACGTGCGAATTCTTTGACAAATCAGACCTTAAAGTTATGGATGGAGGTGGCTTCCACACCTTCTTCTTTCAATGTACCCTACTAGTTGACCCCCGAACAGAGTACCAGTATTTCCTGACATTTTGTCGACTCTGGTGGAAGCATGGTGGTGTGTGTTGGATTTTGACAAATTCATAAATATAATACCGACGCCTGCCAATCACGGTACCTGACCACCAGCGTGATATACCCTTTCAAGCACCACGTGAAGCCTCCATCTCAAGCTCCCCTTATGGAGGAGCCTAGACCCCCCTCTTCCCCCCTATATCATCCCTGAATCCCTAAAATTACCTCAAGCAGCTCTTCTCCATCATGGTGGCCACGCAGCGAGCAGGAATATACACATAAACACCACCACAACGTGCATCATAAAACCCTTCAAAAGAACGCTAGCAACATTTCATCACGGAGTCCCGTCCTGTGCTCAATCCTGGTCAGTGTGGGAGTCCAGCTGGACGCTCTTGTCTCTTGCAGCTGACAGGAGCGGTTGGGTGATTGACAGGATACCTTGGTCAACCGGGTTGTAATTCGTATGTAAAAAGAGTACAAACAGCGACGTCTAACTGACTGGTTGCTCAGACAACCGACCAGTAATCCTGAGCCAGGATTCACCATACATTTACGAAACCTGTACATCTTACAACAATACGGTCGGGTTGTTTACATTCATTAAACAGCTTAAGAGCTCCGGAGCGCTATACGAGGTTGTTTATAACAATAATAATCTTCTTGGGTTGTGACGTTCCCAAGCTCATAAACCGTTGGATAAGGGTAAACAACCCGATCATACTTGTTGAAAGATGGACAGGTTTCGTAAGAGGTTGCGAGAATACTTGCTAAAACCCGGCCCGGGTCAGAGACATGCTTATGGAGGTACTGACCCTGGGAACCAACTCAAGGTAACCTCAAGGTGATCGTGGAGGTGCTGGCGAGACAGTACCCACGTAATATACACAGACAGCAAGCGCCTGCCACAAAAAAACGGGCTCACCATAGCCCGTGCTACTTGCAACTATTGTTCCAGGTAGCAAATCTTTAACAACAACAAACAAGCCTACCACAAAAAATATTGACATGGCGTAAAAGTCGACAAAATGCAAGAGAAAGGAATGACGGGAGAGCAAGGCAGGTGGGATCACAAATGTGCTTAACCGGAGTTAAAAAGAGAATGACAAATTACAGAGATAATAATGACAAGCCGCCAGATTCTCGAAGCAGTTACACAAGTACTTACGAACGTGTACATCTGTCCTCAATCTTTGACGGCTTTGGTTACATTTATTAAACAGTTTACAAGCGTGAAAACTTGCCAATCAACTGTTGTTATTGTTATGAACAGCCTCCTGGTGCTTCGGAGCTCATTAACTGTTTAATAATTGTAAACAAAGCCGCCGAAGATTGAGAAAAGATGTACAGGTTCGTAAGTGCTTGCGTAACTGCTTCGTGAATCTGGCCCCCAGGTCAATTCAGGAACCTCCATCGGATCGATCACTCACATCCCTCCGGAACAACTTGGGTGATGGGACTGAACTCCAAGGACAACACCTCTTCAACCGTGACTGTTCTGTCGTCCTCAGTAGCCTGGTGATGTGCAGGTGTGCTCAGTCAGGTGTGGCTGCGTCCAGTTCCTCCAGGTGTGTTACCACCTCCTCAGACGTGCCTTTGATTTTATTAATATTTTAGAATCTTGTGTTGAACTCCTCACATATGTCTTTGTTGTTCTCAGTGAGAATACTTTCATGTGTTCACAGGCGTATTATATAAGTTTTCAATGGTAATGTGGTAATAGTGGTATATGGTGGTGATGGTGTTGGTGATGTGGTGTGATGAGTGTGGTGATGGTGGTAGTGGTGGTGGCAGAGGTGTGAGGAGCAGGTCTAGGAGACAGAAAGTGGGCCCCGTACTACTCGGACCAGCCTCGTGACCTACTCAACACCGCCTTAATCTCTCTGTTTTTGTGTTCCTGTTTTCCTCCTCGCTTTCCTTCGCCTCCCCCGTTTTCTTTACCCTTCTTCCTTCTCCTTGCTTTCGTCTACCTGTATAGATGAACGTGTACAATGTTACAGAACAGTGTTATGTAACATTGTACACGTTCACCTTCAAGTTCAAAATATGTACCGCTACATGTGTATCTCCACATGTGCACCGTCACATGTGTGCCGCCACACGTGCATGTTTTTATGCACTACACTACTAGATTAGGTTAATCCAGTCGCTATTTCTAAGTGAAAGAGAG